ATTACGCTATAAAACCTAAACCACAAGACTAATTAATTATCRCAGGGRMTTCAACAAATAAATTTKTTGGCAACGAATCCACAGWCAGCTGAAACTAGCCCAGCTTAGACTCGGGATAAACCGAATGTTCGTTACAACTTGAATCCACTCTCACTTTATTAAGTTCCTATGCAGGAATATTATTATCTTTTCGGTTGCACACAAAGAAGTAGTGCACCTGCTAAAAAGCAATCTGGTCTTGATTGCAACAGTAAATTCTTAGATCGTACCAGCTTTGAAATCGAGTATCCAGCATGACAGCATCCGCTCGTCGAAACATCAGCGGTCCCAACACGTACTTAAGGTTATCCTAAACATATGAGATTAAAAAAAAAACAACAATGTTGTCATCGATATCAGGAGAGAAGCAGTAGTTAATTATTGATATTGGTCGTGTGCTGAGAGTCTGCAAGTGTTTCAATAGCAACCAAGCACATTATAGTTTGCTATCTGCGAAATATTGCTGAGGCTTAGCGTAATTGTCTGATAATACTATGTGAGATTTTAAATTGTTTCTCATTCTTTTTAAAATAAACAGTCCTCTAGTTCATTATAGATCACATACCGTTCTAGGATCTCATTACATTCATTCATCATAAATTAGGAGAATATATTCACTTATGCTATTCATCAAAGTGATAATATGTATATTACATTTATCAATATTTGGTATTTTTGCATTCAATTCACTATTCCAAAGCAAGGATACTTTGTCATTCTATTATATGAAATGGATTCTGTAATTACCTTATGTCACTAGTATGAGCTAGTTTATACTGAAACAAAAGACAGACAATAATATGGTCCCTCTGAACGAGAACTTTTGATGTACATACTAAAAAACGAGGTGAAGTGCAGCGTTGAAAATATTGATTAATAATTATCTGCACAAACACAGATATATTTGTTTATAAAACATGACTGATCAACGGGGGACTAGAGTTTATGTCGGTAATTTAACTGATAAAGTAAAGAAGGATGATCTGGAAGGCGAATTTACAAAGTATGGAAAGCTAAATTCAGTATGGATTGCATTTAATCCGCCCGGATTTGCATTTGTTGAATTTGAACATCGTGACGATGCCGAAAAGGCATGTGACATTTTAAATGGTTCGGAGCTCTTGGGCTCGCAATTACGAGTGGAAATTTCGAAGGGTCGTCCACGGCAAGGACGACGAGGAGGACCTGGCGAAAGAGGACGCCGCGGTGATGTCGGCAGACACAGCATTACAAGTAGCAGTAGCAACGGTGGATTCCGGCAACAGAGAGGCTCCAGTAGCTCAAGCAGTCGCCATTTGGATCGCGGTTACAGTTCCGGCCGTTCAAGTACCACGTATGGCGGTACTAGAGATGGCGGCAGCAACGGATTCAATCGTCGCGACATATACAACGGAACGCGAGAAAGTAGTCGTTATGGCGGTGGAACCAGTTCTAGCTATAGTCGCAGCGGAGGGCAAAGTGGTGGACGATTCAGGTCTCGGTCCCCAGTTGCTAATCATCGTTTCTAAACCATATAATTTGAAGATGTTAATAGAGAAATATAAAATGTCTGTGCGATATTGATACAACCCAGTTATCATATAAAATCATTGCTAATATGTACATACATATACTAAAGACAAATATTAAGATTTGCTTTTTAATCAGCAAGAAATTCATCTATTAAAACATATTTCTATGCTAGGGCATCAGCTTTCGAATATTATTTATTTTACTTACAAATTGCATCAAACGAAATTTTTATATATTCAAATTTAAGAAATTAGCCAACTATTAAAAATAATTAAGTTAAATATATTTAATGAAAAATACGGACTAAGTCTTTGAAAACTTAGAATTCAAGAGCAAAATAAAAATGTCTAAAGTCGTAAATGATATTAAAACACAGTTTAAAAATTCATAGGGCCTAAAATCTAATTTATTTTTCTCTGATCCATGATCCATTTAATGATTATATTAAAGTCGGGATGGTCCCAAAATAGACAAAAAGACATACATATGTATGTCGTAATGCTTCCAACGTGATATGTAGGGACCGGACGCATATATGTACATATGTAAGTACTACACACTATGTACATACATATCAAATTAAAGGAAATTGCACATAGTATGGAAAAACATAAAATTAATATCGATTTTCGTAAATGAAGGTTACACACACGTTACCCTTTCACCTATAACGATATACATACATATGTATTTATGTATTTATTTTAAGTTTAATTATGATAAGTTAATCAGTCCTCTATGACTGATTATCTTATTAAAATTAAAAACAATCGTGTTAATTCTTGATTACCTGAAACATTTCGATCTCATTTTAAGCTGCATAGCCTACTTCAATTTTCATAGTATAATATTTTATAGCCATATGGTCCATATATCACATACATATGTACATATGTATGTATGCATGTACATATTTCAAAATATCGTTATGCATTTCTTCATTAAAGTAGCCGGCAAAAAAAAAGTTTACATACTTGAACATTTATTATACAAAATGTCCTTTAAACGGTATATTAGTTTATATACATACATATGTATAAGACAAGCATTTATTTATGACGCTAGTGAACAAAAGTTACATATGTTAGTTCCATTATAGCAAATTTATGCTACAAAATTAACAAGAAATGCCAGAAAGCAAGACGAAACCGTTTACGTACATATGTATGTATGTACATACATATGTCATGTTCAGTCATGGTCGAGGAAAGCAAATTTCACTAAAATCGCGTATAAATACGTACATATGTACATACATATGTATATTAAAGCGCCACTTAGATGGGAAAGGTGTGCGCGAAATTGCAAATTGTGCAAACCATTATAATTTATAAAAACAAGTTCAACTCAGATCAGGCTATCCTCCAAAAATAAAAGCGAAATCCTAGTAAGGATCTTAGATGGGTAGACACATCTGACCTAAGGAGGCATGTGTTGATCATCCAGTTGCAAAACGAAAAACGTACTATCTCGTCAAGGAGTGGCTTTTATTTAACGCTATTCGATTAACTCTTTCTCCACAATCTCCAGATCTCAACCCAGTTGAGCAGTTTTAGAGTTTGGAAGAAACTTGAAAGCTTTCCTTATGACTGTATTAACTTCCCAGTGCGTCAAAGCTGTCATGCAATGAATGTTAAAATTTTTATTTTATTTTGGTTGCTCATGGGCCTAAATTTGGGAGAAAAAAACATTTAAAATTCTAGAGCTTTAATCTTTAGCAAATACACACATTTGAATCTAATAAAAGTGTTCTCACAACAATGTAATTCAAACAAAACCATTATACCCTGATTTCCCATTTTCAATGGGTTCAGGGTATAACAAGTAATAAAGCTCTAGTCGAGACTGCTCGGCTACGAGATCCCCTGAGCCCTTCGAGCAATAGCTATTTCAATCATTTTTCTGCTTACACAAGAAATACGCAAACGCGCACACACGCATACACACACACACACACACACACACACACACACACACACACACACACACACCCCCATATATGTACATGCACACAAGCACCCACGCCTAACTTTTCTTGACCCACGATTTTCATAAAACTTTCTCTTCTCTCTCTTGTATTTGAAATACGTTTTTTACAAATATGTAGATGAGGGAGTGGGGGGAAAATTTTAACACAAACCGACTTTGTATAAATTGCATATAAATCTACATACATTAAAAATTTGGAGACTAGCTTTAAAGGTGTAGGAGATATAATTATATAACTGATTTTCGATAAGGGTTTTTATAGATAAAAAATATCGGGACTAGTTATCGATTTTTAAAGCAAAACTCGACATCCGCGTGGTATACACGGATATTTTACAAAAAAATTCAGGTATCTAGCTCTTGTATCTTCTGAAATCGACGCGTTCAAGCATACTGACAGACGGACGGGGCTAAATCAACTCAGCTCGTCGCCCTAATCAATAATATATATACTGTGGGGTCTGCCACGCCTCCTTCTGCCCGTTACATACATTTCATCAAAGCCAGTATACCCTGATTTCCCATTTTCAATGGGTTCAGGGTATACAAATTTTGAGACTAGCAATAAAGGTGTAGAAGATATAATTTTATAACTGGGTTTCGATAAGGTTTTTTATCGATAAAAAATATCGGGAGGAGTTATCGATTTAATGATAAACTTGATATGCGCGCTGTAATTACGGACATTTTAAAAAAAATTTGAAGTCTCTAGCTCTTATATCTTCTGAA